TACTGTGGCGTTTGTTACAACAATTGAAAATGTACCTTAAGTTGATTAAGTTTAAGGGTTAATTGAGATTGGATTGTACAGGGGGCCGAGGACAAAACTATTGGATTTATAACAATAGGTTTTGCTACCTTAATACAACATACGTGGGTGTATATATGAATACATAATTCCAGTATTTCATTGAGAAACACTTATTGCTGTGTACAAATGAAATTTCAATTCGTTCTCTACACTAATATTACAAGATAAATTATATCTCAGGACAATTCACACAGCGCCATCTAGTCCCAAACTAAGCAGAGCCAGTTTTATGGGTACTAGACAACTAACATAAGTAGATAGACATATTTCTTTTTATAAATACAAAATATATATAGAAAACACTTGCCGATAGAATTATGAATTACTTACTCATGAATACAAATGTTTTAAATGTACGGGAAATCGAACCCACGACCATCGGAAGTAAATCATATATAAGCACAAATGATCATTTTGTTTAATTGTCATCCGTTAAGATCTATGATTGTAAAATTTGTGTCTCGTGTAAACTGTTTTTCTTGAAATAAATCAAATCTAAATCTATTTTTCCCTACTGTCCAGTTCAGTATACAGATTCAATTGAGAAGAACTGGCAAGAAACTCAACATAATTTATTTTATATTAAACCCAGTTTATTTAATAAACTAGCTTATACATTATATATTTAACACTTTATAGACCGCATGCCCACCGGTGGGTACTCCGCAATGAAAGTAAATTTACGCGTTGGGACCGGGTGATCACCCGTGGGCACTTTAATTGAAATAAATCTAGTGGTTAAATAATGTCTACCTCAAATTATTGTACACGAAAAACATATTTAAAAAATAACATACTTAATTATCATCATTACATATTATAAAACAAAGTCGCTGTCGCTGTCTCTCCGTCCCTATGTATGTTTAAATCTTAACTACGCAACGGATTCTGAAGTGTTTTTTTTTAAATAGATATAGTGATTCAAGAGGAAGGTTTATATGTATAATACATGTACACCCGAGCGAAGCCGGGGCAAGTAGCTAGTTATAAATAAAAATAAGATTTCCAAAGCGGTTTCAACGAGATAAAAAATATCCGCTGTATAATAAAAAGTTGACTCCATAATACGGCGCACAAAAAGTAACAAAAGCAATTCGAATGTGTAACATTAGAGCTAATGCTTCGTAACTGCACTTAACCTCTATTAAAAGTTCGTATTCGACTTCTTTCCGCACATTACTTAAAGCTCGTGTTGGTAATACGCAGATTAAATAAATGGAGTAGGTCAAAATAACACAGATAATTTATATATAGATAGATAGATAGATATTGTTTATTTGTTTGTTACTAATCCACCAGGGTTGTTATGGATATGAAATTTCAGATACGGATAGATTTCTGATATAGGAATGATTACTATACCGGATACGGATATGGATGCCAATTTGAAATTATTTCGGATTATCCATTAGTTTCTGTTACGGATATTCATTTTTTAAGGAAATTCAAAAGTAAAATACATATAACTAATAAAATGGTTACATAATGTGTCTCAATTAAGCTCCGCCCCTATCCGATATTATTCGACACATTTATTTCGGATTCGGTTACGGTTACGGATATTTTTCATATCGGATATCCGATAGTTTCGGTTACGGTTACGGAGCTACCTAACATCACCGCTAATCACACACAATTACACGTTTATAAAAATAGACAATACATAATACGCCATAAGATTTACAAGTTTGTGTTATTATGTGTGATCTCGGTATGTGTGATCTGTAGCAATACAAAAAGGTCGAAGCTCAGCGTGGAACATTCTTCAGGGAACAAAACACTGATTTTCAGCTTCAGCCCATTTGAGAGTACGTGAAAATGTTAATAAAAATAATATTTATTCTCTATTTGTAATGACAAATCATTACTACTGCTTTTAATATTTGTCCTGCGGTACAGTCGTGAGTTTGACAAAGTATACGACTGTCGAAAATCCTAAACTGTGTACACACAATAGTGACTTTTGCGCAAACATTTAACGATGCTAGACAATCTAATTTGCATGATACACTATCGAGGTATGGATTATGAAATATCACTGTATCCGTCTGTCCCTTATAATTACGAAAGTACATATGCCTAGCATTAATAATCACCCTCTTAGTCTCTTCTCATTAGAGAGACTTTTAGACAATTATCGTTGGTTAGGCTGGTTTGGTTTAAAACTTCAGAAATAATCATCAAAATTGATGTAGAATTGGCGGAGTTATAGCATAACATATAATACCATGTCCAAGTAAAAATGGGATTGATGCCTATTTTTTATTAAGCGTAACTCAAAAACTACTGGCCATATCTTTGTTATTCTTTCACGCAAAAACTACCCAACAGATTTTGATGAAACTTTACAGTAATATAATTTAAACATGAGAATAACACCTAGGCTATAATTTTAAAAGATATTATGTAAATTATGCGAAATGAAATAATAATGTCAAGTAAGTGCTAGCTAGAAAGTTACTTCATTTTTCTTCAAGGAATTCATACAAATAAAAATACCTCCTCATTTTATGAAGTCGGTTGAAATATATTAACGAATTTAGAACCTCGTCCTTTTCTGAAGTTGGTCAAAGAGCCGATTGGTCGCGAACGCCGCAGGCACATCGCACTGGGGCCAGCCCGCGCATCGGCACTGTTTAATTTTCAATTTAGATCGCAATTTGCGATGGCGCTCCTCACGCCCAAACCGGCATCACTCCATCCGATAGATTTATGCTTCTCACTTATAACTACGTCGGTAGGTACTCCAATATCGGTGGAATATATTAAAAGAAATTAACTCGCGTAAGTTACGAGCGGTTACGAGATAAGAGTTAATGAAAATTGGACTTTTTTTAACAAATTCGTCAAGTGCGGGGCGCGCCGGAACGGTCCGATAACGTGAATTGATCTGTCCGTGTTATACTAATTGATGTGTACCTTTTCGGTGCTTATTGTAGGGATGACAACCATACGAAGATGCTCCTACGAATTCGAAATATATATATGAGTATTTTTATGGATGCACTTGCCTGCGCTAACGGTTTACGCTGGCAGGGCACTGGTGCCCTGGTGAGGATGATAAGGTGAGAAATACGTTGGCCTATCCGGGCAAATGGCAATTTCCACGAAGGTTTCCAGACCGAGTGGACTTTAAACTGATAGGGTACATTACTAGCAATGGGGTCCACATTACTAACAATCCCCTTCCCCACCAAATACGAGTTTATTGGACTTCGGTACAAAGACAGTATAACATTTTGACATTTGGCATGAAAATCTCTTTACTTCCAATGGTTTTGAGTTTGATTCCTCGCACGGTACAAATATTTGTATGCGTATGATTATTCGTATCGGTATAAGTATTTTCTTTATATACTATGCATGTATTTATTAAATGTATTTCTGCTCAACACAAGCTCTGCTTATCATAGGACTAGATAACACTGTGTGAATTGTCCTGACATATAAATATGAAGGAAGGCCTCCAGCAAGGTGGACCGACGATCTGGTCAAGATCGCGGGAAGGCATTGGATGCGAGCAGCGCAGGGCCGATCGTCGTGGAGATCTTTGGGGGAGGCCTATGTCCAGCAGTGGACGTCTTCCGGGCTGCGATGATGATGATGATAAATATTAATTTGAAATCGATCAAAATACGAGTAAAAATACTCGTATTTTGATCGTATACCTATATGTGTAGGTACTATACAAACTTAGAAAACCATATTGCATTAAGGTAGGCAATTGTACATTTATTTTAAATAGTGAAATAAAAAATAAATAAATAAAATAAAAACAAATTGAGATAACATTATGAGATTACATCTTTATTTTCATTTCTTCATTCGAGACTAACTTGTTTTAAGGTAGCAACCCTGCTATATTACTTGTTGTTACCTGAATAATTTCATGTTGCTCGCTTTTATATTAACATTCTATTATTATATGAAAGAATTATGCCTGATTCAGACTGAACAATGTTTGATTTATACTGATGACTTGATTAGCCTTGCATTTACTTAATTTATAATTTAAAATATCATTCAGTAAAAATCTTTCCTTTTTTAAATGAGTAATTAAAATAAAATAAACCAAACACAATATTATGAAATAAAAACGAAATGAGAGTCTTCATATTTAAAGTAAATAATTGATGCATTATTGTCTTAGAAACATAATAAAAAGAAAATTGTAAAATCTTGTAAATACATATACATACAGGTACATTGGCAAACTGTAAATCTGGATTTATATGATGTAAAATAAATATATTTATAGTTCGCCTAACATTGTAATTGAACCAATCGTTTTCGCAAACTGAATACAAATAAACCTCAACTTGGAATAACGCCAAATTGCAGTTTACAGTCTTTAGAATAAATTACAAAAACTATAAATAAATTTTATTACTATTGAACTGTAAATTTTCAACAAATGCAAAACTATATACTTAATAAACACAATATATAGATTTATTTGCGTTATTAGATATATATAAAATTTGACATGAATATAAAGTAATTCAGTGCAAACGTATTACAGTTAATAGTTGACAGCTAAAAACCAAAATAATAAAAGTAATAAATCGCCTTCGACCTTAATTATGCTAGTGTGTTTAGGTTAATATGATTTTCATAATAACTTCTAGTTATTATAAGGTTAACCTCAAACATTTCGTGGTACATACACTTCAATAAATCTCACACATTACCACTGACGAGTTTGCTTTCACTGCCAACATTAATAACTGATTTATTGTGCGAATCGATTTATTCGACGGGAAATCGATTTTTAAATTGCAATTCGATATTATTTATAGCACATATGACATATATAATAGATCTCGTGCACCTACTTAAGCTTCGATTATGCCGTGGGAAAAGATTTAATTTCTAAACGCAATGCTATCAGTATGAATGTACGTTTTAAATTGACTCACCTTTAATATACAGCTGCCGACGGCTTCGCTCTCAGGAACAGTTACATTGTAGAAAGACTGGTCGAAGATCGGTTCATTGTCGTTCACATCCAACACTGTTACCACTAAAGTCGCCGTCGACGACAACGGCGGGTTACCGCGATCTTTAGCCACCACCGTAAGCGTCGGCATCGGATTCGTCTCACAATCGACTCTGGACCGCGTTGTCACTAGTCCAGAACGCTCGTCGATCGAGAACCAATCGGACTGAGGAGTCGGGAGAAGACTGTATCGAATCTCCGAATTTTCTGCCTCGTCCGCATCAGAAGCTGACACTTGTACTACAGGCGTCCCAGGCGCGGCTGCTTCAGGTACACTCGCTTTATATTCGTTCTCATGAAAAACAGGGGAGTTATCATTCACGTCAGTCACTCGGAGACTGATTATCCTAGACGCATGCAAGGGAGGCGATCCCTTATCTGTGGCTACAACGTTCAGAGTATACGACGACCTAAACTCACGATCTAAAGGCAACGCAACGACCACCAAATAAATTATATTATCATGTGTCCGCAAATCAAAGTGGCCATCGCCACCACTCAACGTAACGTTCACATTTGAGTACTCGGTTTTGGAGTCTGGATCGTGAACAGATATCCGCGCGACAAATTCATCCAACCGAGCGGATTCGGATATCTTTGGAGTAGCATCATCACTCAAGAATATGACGTCTATCGTCGGCTGGTTGTCGTTCACGTCCGTCACTCTGATAGAGACGAAAGCTGTTGTTTCTAAGGGCTGCGCGCCTTTATCTCTGGCAACAACAACTAATTCGTGCAGTTCTTTCGTCTCAAAATCGAGAGCTTTATTCACTGTTATCTCACCAGATTCCGGGTCTATCTTAAACATGTTTTCTTTGTCGCTTTGTCTTCTATTTATCGAATACTCTATTAAGCCGTTTTCACCTGCATCGGCGTCAGTTGCGAACACTTTCATAACGGGTGTGCCGACCGTTGCGTTTTCCGGAACATTTGCCGAATATGCGCTTTCCGCAAATACTGGTGGGTTATCGTTCACGTCTAAAATAGTTATGTTAACTGTCATGGTTCCACTTAGTGGAGGGGTCCCACCATCTAAAGCTACAATAACTAACTCATAATGATCAGTCGTCTCCCTATCGAGAAATCCATTGATTTGAAGGTCTAAATACAAAACCCCATCTCTTTCCCTATGCGAGGATAATCTAAACGCGTTATCTGTGTTCCCCGACACGATATTATACTTCTGTGTATTGAATACACCTAAATCCTGATCCTTCGCAGGATTCAGTTTCCTCTTAACATCCCTGGGGGTGTTCTCCGAGAACTCAACGTTCATCACTGAAGTAGGGAATGTAGGAGCATTATCATTTTCGTCCGAAACCCTAACGACTACTCGGATGTTATCGCCGCTCGCGGGGATAGCGACTAGTGCATACTGGTCCCTGTTTTCTCTATCTAGCGGTACTCTAGTCCTTATTTCACCAGTGTGAGGGTCTACTTTGAGGTCATCGTTGACCGCACTGCCTGGGACGGGGACGATGGTGTACGGTGGAGCTGCGTCGGGCAGCTCATCTCCGAGGTGGCCGACAAAGGAGCCGGCGCGGAGGTTCTCCCGGACGGTGAACTCGCGGACGTGTTCGCCGCCCGCCACTGTTGCCAGCAGCAGGTAAGTGACGACGCGCAACATTGCGCGATTGTTGTTCTCACCGTACGCACATTGTCACTCGCACCTGCAAATGGAAATTATGTTTATGAATTAAAGAATATATTTAAACCGATACAAAACTATTACAATAATATATTATGATAAACAACCACTTTATTTTATTATAAAAAATGTTCCAGTTATTTGCGCCCATCTCCAGAGCAATTTAAACGAAAAAAAAACAAATCAGTATATATTTTTAAACACAATTTTGAGTTAGACACTATAGATAAATATTTAAAAATGATACTTCTAATGTTATGGTTATTATAAGTATTATGAGTACTATACAACTAATATAATTACATAAATACATTGTTTTTGTAAATAGACTAATACAAAACTTGATACTCATGAATACAAATGTTTGTACCGTGCGAGGAATCGAACCCGCGTCCATGAGACCTAAATCGGTGTGTTAAACCGATAGACCATCGTCAAATAATTTTTAAAACACATGCATAATACGTTTCAAAACTTATAATTATTATGTGTGTTTATAAATAAATCCAGAATAACAGAAATTATAGGTTGTAATTATTATTAAATGATAATAATATAATTATATATAATAGATTATAACTATAATAATTATTATCTATCTAATAATAAAGCATCCAACCAAATGCGAACAGAATATGTCTAAATGGATATTCCTGTATACGGAATAAAATGTGAGCAAAGGAAGATAAATGCATAAAGTTATAACGGAACGTAAGATTGCATCTTTCTAATTTATGTCATAGCTACTTCTGAGACCAGTTTGTTTGGTATCTTTTACATATTATACGCTTATAGGTCCTGTCTTGATAAATGGAGACCGTTTATATTAACTTTCTGTTGCATTTATATCCATTTTTGCATTAAAATTATTGTTTTTACGAAAAAAAAAAAATTGATTGTTGATTATTGGAGTTCTTGCCTGTTTGTCTGTACATTCGTGCACGCTAAACTAAGAAACAACTTAACAGATTTGGATGCAGGTTTCACCAATGTATTATGTTATGATTAGCTTTAAAAAAATAAACTATTTTTATTCCTAATACAACGGAGCAAGATGTAACGTTGGAAATTAGCTAGTGCAGAAAAGTATATAAATAAATTGAATATTTTCATCAAGATGTTAATATGTTAATTCTGAAGGTGTTAAAGTTATTATATACCAAAACACTTTACTCATGTATACAAGAGTTTATTGTCTCAATTTAAGTACAAGAAACTTCTTTATATATATATGTAGTATAAAACAAAGTCGCCGCTGTCTGTACGCTTATATCTTTTAAATTACGCAACGGATTTTTATGCCATTTTCAGCAGTAGATAGAGTGATTCAAGAGGAAGGTTTATATGTATAATACATGCGTGTTATAGTATAGAACAAGCCGAGAAATTTGAAGATTTGTAACGAATCGCGGTCGGGTCTCTAGTAATAATACATATAAATAACAGGATATTTCTACATAACATAACTATAGCTATATACAATTTTGTTATAGCGCCATCTATTGGTGTTCCGCACAAACAATATTTTATTGGTATAGTATTTAAATTCTAACAACAGAATTAAAAATGTTAGGCTCTGATATCCACAAGTGGTTCGCAGATCATTTGATGGACCGGTTTTATGTATCTGCCACGAAATGAGCTTCTGATTATGGATTAACGGGTCTTTTCGTTGATAACCGTCTAATTTGCGGTTTTATTCTGGTAAATAACAAATAGCCTTAATACCTGAGGTGGTATAAAGCATTTCATGTAATGAGCTTAGATGTATTATGGTTTTTTTAATGTAGTTGGATGTGCAAAGAAGTTATGGGTATACCTGATGGTAAGTAGTAACCTATATACCTAAATGCTATCACGCCACTTGACATTACCATGTGATACCCATATCACTTCCATATAACTAAGGTTTAATACTACCGAACTGTGTAATAGGTAAAATGGGCAGTACTTGTGTTATGGGTACTGTTGTAGAAATATGTAGTAAAACTATTTATGACTGAAAAATGTATTTAATTGTAAGATGGTAGAGAGTTATGTGACATAATATTTTTTTTTTTATAGTTTTGATTAAAGAATACAAGAAAACTTTAAATATATTTATATCAAAAGAGTGTCTCAACAGGTACTAATATAAATACTTAGATACATTTTTTAAAGACATACATATTTTTTTATTCTATCATATTCATAAATGTGTCTATGACCACAAATTACATCTGCTATGAAATATTTGATTGCTATTTTCTAAGCTCATAACTAGAGATAACCCTAGGAACGTTTTAATTTTTACTTTAATAAAATTAAAGACAATATAAATAATCATAGAAAAAATCATATTTCATATTTTTATATATAGATAGACATACTTGCTGTGCCCGCATTTTCACCCGCATAAAATTTATATATATAATAATATATATTTATAGAAAAGTTTACGTCCATTTAAAACTAGAAATTGTTGCTTTTTCACGACTAGGCGCCTAAATGAAGTTAATTTTTTTTTATGTATATCATACTAATATTGTAAATGCAGAAGAAAAAAATATCTGCTATAATGTTTAATGTCAATATATCAGACATATGTATACTAATATAATAATATAAGATAACGATATGGTATAATAAGATAAGCCTGATACGGTATATATATTGATGTACCGTATCAAGTTTACATAAAATAGCAAACAAAGTCGCGGTTCACAGATAGCATTTAAGAACCGTAGTAGATTACATTAAGAATATTGTCTATATTGGCTGCATTTAACTTTCCCACCCCTGGCGGTAACACAAACAGTTCTCGAGATACAAGGGAAAGACAAGTGCAGTCATTGTTAAAGGGACGGTGCGATGTGAGCGCAGGTAACAATCCTAGAAAAAACCCATCCGCAAACGATAAGAAAAAACGGGCCAATTGTGTGGGAGACCAGGGAAGCGACGGCTCTGTATTTATATAATTATTATTTTAAGCAAACCCATGTCGATTTAGCTAAGTAACTTATTTAACCTTATTTGTCGAGAATACTGAATATTTGAAAATATTTTTCATACGTATGTTATTTTACAAATAGAAATAATAATAATTCAAATAAATTTAATAATATATATTTTTTTTAGTATTAAATTTATTATGGAATCTCTCTCTCCCGGCCTACTCCCATCTTAATTGGGGTCGGCTCTCCTGACATCCGTCTCCAGAGGGTTCATGTCTGGATCGTCATTGGGTATATATTTTTTATTCTACCTATATTATAGAATAAAGGTAGAATAAACAAAATATTATTGTTTAAAATATATAGATATATAAGAAGATGTATATATTCTTATATTTCTATACATTTTTAATTTACTTACTATATACTTTTAACATTTTATGTGAATACAAACTACAATTATACTAAGTAATTAAAAGAAAATTAAGTTAAACTAAAATCCAGTGCCATTAATGTTATACACATCGACTTGCCCACCATTACACTCTTAATTTAGGTAAAAGTTAATGTTTCTGACATCCAGGTATCTGCACATCTTGGTCGCGACACCGCCATTTTGGCCGCCTGCTACTTTGGCAGTAATAAAATATCAATTTTATTAGCAACCACCCATCGACATTAAATCTAGATTAACTTTCTGTAAATGCCATGCTACAACCACTAAAACTGGTTTAGGAGGTGCGCCAAAAACAAAAACACATTTTTTACGACTAAATCTTGATCCTTGAAGAAATTCTAAGTAAATAAATTAAGTGCAACGTACGATTGTGTGGTTTTATTTGTGGTGAAGTAAGAAAAACTCGTTTTCTAAATGAATTAGGAGCAGAAATGCTGCGTATGCGCAGGGCGGCAACATCAAAAATTCCAAATTTTGGACCCCGGCGCAAACTATGCGCGACCGAATGAATTATTGGTCACAGTTTACAGTCGAGCGAAGCCTACGTCAGAATTCCCAAATTTAAATTATGCTCACGTTTTTCTTTATACGTGGGAACGACCTGGCTCAGTGGTTTAGTACCCGACTTAGATCCAATAGTTCATATTCTAATCTGTTAATCCACATTTCTGACGGGCAGTGAGTGGTGAGGATTCAAATATTTCCAGCGAAACGTCAAAAGGTTTGTTAAACACAACGTTTACAGTTTACAACAGCTCTGACTACCCTATCTGTGATAAAAGTCGTGAGGAAGTATTAAATATTCTAATTTCACACTGTTTTAACTTGCACTCATATAGACGGAAGAAACAAACTTGTTCTAATAACTTAAGACAATTTATGACCTTGCCCAAACATTTCTCTGACTGGAAACAATTAAATTTTATATCTGCCATATTCTTTTAATTCCTTTACCGTTCCTTTTGGTGTAATAAGGTTAGTTACATATTATTAACTCTGTTATAATTATATACATTGTCTCCCCAATTGTTCTCTTTTTTCTATTCTTTGTACAATTTAAGTACGTATTTGAGTTCAACTTTCATTTCACTATATTTTATATTGTGAAGTGGAAACATATTTTTTTTTAATTTAAAACTCAATTTCAAAATTCTTTCACCTATGGAGACTGCATTGTCAGGCAATAATTTAGATACATTTTTTATTTAAGTATTACTTAATTTATTTTTTCAAATTAGTTTAAACGCTTTTATTATACGTGTTGTTACTACTATTAACTTTTATTTGTTGTGTGTTTTAAGATTGAAATAAGATATCTAATCTATTATCTATACATATATATTAATACGTGAAACACAAACTTTGTAACCCTTTCAAAAATTGTGCTAACGGAGGAGTATGATAATTCACACATTTACTTACTATAAACCCTTTAAACAATAAATGTTGAAGTCTGTTGTCAAATTGAGAATAGATTAATATTGTTTACTCGCCCCGGCTTTGCCCGGATGTATTATACAT